TTGTTTAATGCCGAGTTGATCCATCAAGCTTTCAGTAGCGAACGAATGGGTAGACCCACTGTCGAGGAATGCGAATGTCTTAATCTTTATGTTGCCGTTACAGACGATGACTGGAACCAGGGGTAGTGTGGGCCGATCTGAGTTTTCCGCTCCTGCAGTTCCGCACACTGTCGCACCAGTAGTAGGGTAAGGTGCCTAATTAGCGACCCTTTCCGATTTGCGACCTACCTCCCTACAGAAAAACTGGCAGGAGAAAACGGGGCAAAAACATCGTCAAAAGGTCAGCCATACTTTGGTTATCAAATTAAATTATTTTCCGGTTGTCGATGTTTCTGGTGGGACGTTTCAGGTGAGTTTAAATAAAAATGACGAGTTTCTTATCCAAAACGTGTGTGTTTGGGCCGTCTCTGACGAAAAACGATGCACGTTAGGATGATGCACCTTTTTTATTCTGAATCGACATTCCTTTTTTAATTGATTGCCGTTTTCCCATAGTGAATCGCTCAACTGTGCACAACATGGCAGTTAAAAATGTGTCGCAACTCATATTTCCTATTTGCGCCTGACATGGTCGCAAATAGCTCAAGAAGGGAAAGAAAGGGGAAAAGAGAGAAATGAAAATGAGTTGTTGCTGAAGCTTGCAATGTGTGGCAGGGGATGCCAAATGTCGTCACTGACTGCAGGGGTGCCGAATTCAGCGCGGACCTCGAATATCATACAATATAGCCCGCAAAAATTTGGGTTTCCGCCTTCTTTTCGCCTTCGGTGCATCACGTGATCAGTTTTTACTTACGTAAATGTGTTGGATAAACGTTCCTGTCCGAGTGATTGAGTGCTTTGCGTATAGGTTACCTTTTTGAGATCATATTTCATCTTTTCAGGCGTCGCATTTTTTGCCATTTTTAGTATGGGGAAACCCATAGACTTATTAGCGACCCTCCCCGGTCGCTAATCGGGAAGAGTTCCCTATTAGCGTTTTTTGCAATGGTTTGCCAAAATGCTCACTACAAATATGTTGGTGAATATTGGGGCAGAAAATGACTATATTTTAATAGAAAAATGAACGATCTCTCCGAAAATCAAGCCAGTAATACAGTGGCACCCACAGAGCGTGAGCAATGACGGTTCAAATTAAGTGGGTCGCTAATTAGGCACCTTACCCTACCGGTCCTCTCTTGTGGTGGCTGAACTGTCTCTCTCGGTGGTCCAGTTTCATGGCCGCGACTTTGAATGGCGAGTTCATGACGTCCTTGGTCTCGGTTCTCTCTCTGTGGGCGTTTCAGATGCATCGCAGTCGGATGACGCCTTTTGCATATTCTGCACTCAGCTCGTCTTCGGCAATCGGCGCTCCTGTGACCTTGTCTTAGGCAAGAGAAACACAGGGACCTGCTCATTGCGAACGCCTTTCTCTGCTCCGGTGGAGTAGCTCGAAGCTGCTCACAGTCGGCTGTGACGTGCCCTATAACGTCACAGAACACGCAGGCTGCCTGATTCTGGGTTTGGGCGACTGCAACAACGGGCCTGGTGCGCCTCACACTGCTGCTGCCTGCTCTGCCTTGGGAGGGGAGCACTGCGCTATTGTCGCGACTGTACATGAGACGACCGTAGGTGGGATTGGCTGCTATCCTAGCCTCATCTCCAACAAACTTCACGACGTCTTCAAACTTCACTTCACGTCCCTGCCTCTCTTCAATGTCATCAGCATGTCTCCTCCAACTGTTCAGCATCGTCTCCGGTAGCTTGCTGGTCAAAGATCGCATTGTTCTGGGATCTCCCATCATGTGCGAGGAAGAGCCGAGGGCATTTTTGCAGCTGAGCAGCAACAGCGCAAATCGGTCGAGCGCCTCGACATCATTCGCCTTAATCGGACTGAACGAGTTAATACGATCCATGAATGCTGATGCTATATGGCTAGGCTGGCCGTACCTCTTATTCAGCATTCTTATAGCCTCTTGGTATCCGTTCTCCAGATACATGCAACTTGTCACTATAGCGTGCGGTTTGCTGCCCGGTGTCATGTGCTGTTCAAGATAATAGAGCTTCTCTTGTGCGCAATCCAGCTTTGAGGCTATCTTGAGCTGGAAACCCTTCATGAACTGAGCGAACTCGGTCACGTCTCCTCCGAATTTCTTCATCTCTATGATCGGTAAGCGCATCAGTGAGGCAGTTCTCTCGCGCTCTTGGGTCAGCTGTCTGTTGTCCGGCTCGGGGTTATCTGACGCGCCGTCGTCCCTGGCGAAGCTCACCCTGTTTGATGACGTGGCGGGCTGGTCATCGATGACAACCGCGCTCGTTGACTTGTCTCCACCGACACCAGACTCGGTGGTCGGCACTGGACAACGGTGAGATCCTTGCGAGGTATTACATTCATTGACTGCGGCACCTGCCATTTCTTGATCCTGGAAACATTTAATAGCCTGCTCTCTAGCGGACACTTCTGCTATCTTGGCTTCCAAATCTAGCAGTTCCTCTTTACGTTTAAGCTCGGCAACCTGTCTTTCTATTTCCTGTTTTTCCTTAACGGCCTTCAAACGTGCCAGCAGTCCAGCTCTGGCAGCAGCTTCATCTGCCTGTCGCAAAGTCAGAGACTCTGACGTCGTTGCTCTTGTACCTGCTTGGGATACGCTGTCATTTGGCTCTACGTTGTCATGTTCTTCTAGAGCCTCTGCCAATCTAAGCCTAAGCTTTTCCTTATTTCCCTGGCATGACAAACCTCGTGCCTTTAACTCGCGCTTCAAGTCCTTGACGTTCATATTTAGCAGCATCTTGCAGCTGGTCTTATAGCATCATGACACGAAACGAATAGCAATAAAAGGACATGAATAAGATTCGTAAATTACCTTGTAGGAGTGCTGATCCAATCCGCATCACATCAAAATTGAGTACCTTGTGATGCTTGAATAGGTAGATTTTACGTGGTCATATCGTTCGTATTTAATATAATGAAACTATTCCTTTGTTATGAGCAAGAACAAACTTCGTAACTGTTAATTCCCTGGAGGGATCTTCTGGTACTGTTAATTATAAATATATAGTTTCTTTATATTTTCTTGTAGTCGGAGTCTTCTTGAGTCATAGAGAAAGAAAGGACATCTTCTACGGGGTTTATTGCTTGAGTGACACTCTCATAGGCGGTATCTTAACGCAAAACATTACCGTTTCAATCGTGGTCACCAGCAATTCCTTATCGTAATATGCAGTGTCTACATTAGGTATATGAATATTTCTCTTAAATGTTTCACATTTGCTATTTCCTTAATATTTTCCCCGTTACGAAGTTTATGTCCTCCTTACTAACTAACTAAAACCTTGACCTTTCTTCAATCAAAATATTTACAACAATTAAAACACTTCGCTCGCGTGATCATTTCCGGGAGCGCTCTTGGCACGGTCATAGAATACTAAGGTAACACGGAGCCGAAGCAGTGCTGCCAGATGGAGAAGGCTGTAATCCTCCAGATCAGTTACAAAAATCCTCCAGATTCCTCCAAATCCCATTGGCGGATCCAGATAGGCGGTCTTGGACGCTGCGGGAGGGCATATCTCCGAAAAGGTTTCTCCAAATTCTAAAAACTCATCGGATTTCGATTCCTTTCGCACTGCTGTGTAGTTTAAAAGATGCTTTTTTATAATAAAAGTTGTTTAGTTTTCGTTTTATCCTTGAAAAAAAACGAAAATTTTCTTCGATTTTGGACGCTGCAGGAGGGGGGGGGGGGAATTTGCGCCAAATGTCCCCCTTTGATCCGCCAGTAGTTCGGTACCTTCAAAAACATATGGTACAATCGTACACGAAATAGGAACAAATAGTCACCATGATATTTTTTTTTTATAAATTTCGTCCGAACCTTTTGATGGGAAGGATTCACAAGGACAGAGCCATCGCTAAGCGAAGCTTGTTGCGATGACCCTGCCCTCTACCCTCCGATCGCGCAATTCCGGTTCTATGGCAGAATTTAGAGTCCAAAGTTTAACGTGCGCACAAAGCCGCGCACGGCCGGTCCCCTCGCTGACTTCGCCTGGCTACGGCCTGCCACCAACCGCAACCATACCTGTCAGGAGGCCCATAAATGTCGAGCGCCCGTCGCGCTTCGAACCCGGACTGTCATAACCGGGAACGCGTGCTCTCACCACGCGGAGTCCAACGCTCTAACCAACTGAGCTACGGGACCGGCTAATATTCGTGGATATAGCTACAGACTGAGACATTCCAGTCTCACGGTGATAAAGGGCAGTGATATATCCTAACGGGTAGGGTGAAGCTGGGCAGGAAAATGTCTTTTGAGTCTTGAACGCGTTGTATTTTTCCATGAAATTGAATATATTAATCGGGTGACAAATCCTCCAGATTTTCCTCCAGAATCAAAAATCCTCCAAACGCGAAATTTGTCCGCAAATAGAGTTCAAAATCCTCCAGATTTGCGGAAATCCTCCAAATCTGGCAGCACTGAGCCGAAGCTTCAAGCCAGGGGACACGGGAGGCATGCCGTCAGCTGTCCATTTATAAATAATCGGTTTCTTTGACTTAATTTCTAATGTTTTTCTGATGTTTTGCATCAATGAGGTACATCAAAAATTAAGTTTTATTTTTTTTGAGGTCGAAAATATTTTGTTGTCCAAACTATCCCCGTTTAAAGAAAATAGACAAGGGGAGAGTTTACCCAGGACCCTATGGAGAGAGTCAACCCAGGGCCCTATGGGAGAGAGTTAACACGTGCTTCTATGGGGCGAATTCGATGCAACAATGGCGCAGTAGCGACATTACTCTTGTTCGATGTTTTTCGGACGACAAAGATTCTACGCCATTCGGCCAATCACATTCCATAATTGCAGCCGAGCCCCCGTTGATCTAGAACGGGATTGGCCGGACGACGTACAATCTTCGTCGTCTGAGAGACATCGAACGAGGGGTACATCGACTGAACATACATTGCGATTCAATATTCAGTATTTTATGACCGTGATTGCAATCCAAATTTGCATTTGAGCTCAGCAGTCGAGTGTGGTGCCAAAAATACCAGAAGCGATGTCCTATATACGGCCTTGACCAGAAGTGTTGCATGCCCTGGATGCAGAAAAACAAGATTGAGATGAGTGGATCAAGATGTATCTTTCGTGCAGATGTATCAAGATCCTTTCACTTAAGATCCATGCAGGTGAGGTTCCAGTGAAATTTGAATTCGATAGGTAGCTATTTTTGATTTTGCTTTGATACTTGTGGTAAGGAAACATGATTATGGTTGCATGAACCGCCCACTGCTCATTGCTGTCTTGTCTCACGTTCGATATCCGATCACCATTCTTAAATAGCTCACCCCATATGGAAATCAGGTTTCAGGAGGCCACTAGGCTTGTGGGGCCTGGTCTCAATGAGCTCCCAGTGCTAAGGACAGTCAGGCTCATATGCTGGGTAAGGTCAGGTTCAGGTAGGCCAGTATGCACTCTGCAAAGCATGGCAATTTCGACAAGATCTCGTCTGTGCTGGCTTGTCCGGCTGGTGAGGCTTTGGTGTGGCGTTGATTTAGCTTGGTGCAGTGCGGATTTTGTGTAGCGCGGTGCAGATTTGGTCTGGTGTGGTCAGGTGGTGGGGGATGTAGTGTAGTGCATTTTAAATGTGGCTGATAGGTGTGCGGTGGTCAGAACGGACTGTGCCAGTGCTGGTGCCTGGTGGTCCCACCAATCACGGGGGTCATCTCCTGTTGTGACCCAGGGCCCAGGGGGTCTAGTCAAAACCTTACCTATTTCTGCTAACCTAAACCTATTTCTTACAAATTAGGCATAAATGTGATTATGGTATAATGATAATTAAACCTGGCCCTTTTTCAGGCGCAAGCTTTGGATGAACTTCTGCTTCTGCGGTCGGCATTCTTACAGGAGAACCCAAGATTCATTGTACCTACCTGTATGCATTTCAAAACTGAATAATTGATAGCAACAAGTAAATATTTGAAGTTGCAGCCAAATGCTGTGCCTTCTCTGCTGCAAGAGCTACATGTCACCATTGAAGCAAGGTAAGTGTTAAAAGAAATTGTTCACCTTCTGTGAGTAACTTGATAAATAAAATTTAAAAAGGTGTGTTAAAAATGTGATGAATAAAATTTAAATGTATTCTAACTTGGAATTACACACTTCTTCTAAAGGGATTTCATTATTTTAATGATTAGAGTTATGAACACTTACAGCTGAACAACCTATCAGCTGCAAGGGATTCTGCTCCTGTAAGTGCTCTCATCGCTGATTGGCCACTGTGTGTGTTGAAGAGGTTTCTGCTTGCTGTAAATGAGCACTAGAACATTAATTTAAGCACCAATATTCACTGATAAAAGGTGAATATCTCAAACGGTTCAAATATAAGGCATACACAAATCTGCTCTATCAGACTGCTATCTCAGTTTAAAATCCCATGTTAAAGGTGAACTATTTCCTCGACAGGACCAGCTCGACTCCTGCAGTAGGAGTCCAGCCTCGTCCAGTCGTCGCCGCTCGCCAAGACCAGCCGGACTCCTGCAATAGGGGTCCAGGCTGACCCGTTCGTCCAGTAACCGCCGCTCGTCAGCACCAGCTGGGCTCCTGTAGTAGGGGTCCAGCCTCGTCCAGTCGCCGCCGCTCGCCAAGACCAGCTGGGCTCCTGTAGTATGGGGCTAGGATGGCCCGTTCATCAACCGGTCCTGAAGTCACATCGCCGTCAGCCAGCCGAACTCAGTACATAAGTCACCAACCCTGAATGTTGCCAGCCAAAGTCGGCAGTTTCCTTCGGACAGTCATCTCACCAGTGTTGTACAGTGTACGAGGTTAGTGACGCAGTTAAATGCGTCAATTAAATGCGAGGACGTGCGCTTGTATGCAGCGTTTTGTCATGTTGAGCTGCATGGGTGTCGATTTTCACCGAATTGAGGGTGCCCACTGCCCGGGCGCAGCAAATCCGCCGCTGCCTTAGCGGTGACCTTGACCCGCACCGTCTGTTGGGGCTCCAAAGCCAAGCCAGCCGAGCCGGCGGTGAATCTAAAGAGCTTGAGCACCCCCAACCCGGCGGAAATTGACACCTATGTTGAGCTGTATGGATGCGTTTTAGCCTTCCGCCGTGGTGGTAAATAGCAGCCTACATGCAGAATTAGGCAGGCTTATTAGCGGACTCATTATTGGATTCATTGTGTCACGTTTGTCGGCACGTGTAAGATGTGCTTAACTGCCATTAGCTCTCGGCCTGGCGACTTCTGGGGACCACGTAATGGGGATGACAATTGGGATCCTGTGCCTTAAGCCGGCCATTTACGTCCATGGCTATATACCCCCGTACTAGGGCTAGTTATGACGTATATAGGGATCCACGAGATCTTTTTTGATGAATGTGTTGTGCAGTGTTGAGATCCGCGTGTAACGTCACTGTTTGGCCAGTCTGCCCTCAAACGCGTCATCTTTACTCGTATTTTATTTACTGAACGCTTTGCATGGTCCAGTGGTTTATATAGACATCTTCCTTGCACTAGCTAGTTTTATGTGGCCAGGTTGATTGCCTGTCAGCGCGGTCACGCTGTCGTCTTTCGATTGGTGCGCTTAAATGCGGCGAGATGAATATAGGATTTCCTTTGATGCCATTTAGTACCTGCGCCCAGCTCAACTGGGGAAGGGGGGGGGGGCACTGCCGACTTTTGGTCCCATTCTTTCCATGTAACGCCCATAGAGCCCATTGTTAAAATGCCAAAATCAAAGGGGGGCACGGTGCCCCGGTGCCCTCCCCGTTCCGCCGCCTATGCGCGAAAGTACCAACTACCAACAGTTTCCAGTTGTTTGTGTCCCAAAGTTTTTTTTATGAGTTGGACGATTGGGCTTTTCCCATCGCTCGTTATGCAATTATTTTGTTAAACGCTCTAAAATTGTTTCTCTACAAGTCATTAGAACTTAGAAGCAAATAGATATTGATGGATACGATCTCAAGGGGGCCGATAAGAAGGAAGAGCGCGCGGCGCAATGATTGTGGAGCACAGCACACGATTAATGTGAGGCGCATTTAAGCGAGAAATAACTTCATTGAACAGAAATGAGCAGAGTACCAGCATTGAAACTGCACCAGTACCAGCATTGAAACTAAATATAAGATATCTCAGAAGGTTGCGCTTTTGGGGCCGAGTTGTGGTGCTTTACGCCGTACATCATGCTTAATGAATGTGACCGTCGTGTTTGTGGGATCCCCGTCGGTACTAGTCAGCCCCACGAATCGTGGTAGATCATAAAGATAATCTTCGCCTCCGGTTATGATTTTGATATATCTACGAAACGGGTGCTGGGTGGTACACGAAAGCAGCTTTTTCAGGTGAGTTGAAAGGGGAAGAGGTTCTTTGAATTACCATTTCGGACCATGGTTCTAAAAAGCGCTAGTTTAAAACTATTGTTATAATTCCTATCGTAAACCATCGGACGCTCGACGCTGCATTGGCATTGGTACGATGTGCCGGTAATCGCTTCGCTCGCCGAGAATGATAGCGTGGCAGGTTTACTGATATGTAGGATTATCAAATAAATGTAATAGAAACGATATTAAATCCACTACCTCTTTAGAAGCTCTTGAAATAAACCTGGCTATCTGGTTGTCGAAGCCAGGCAAATTATATGCTTGGAATGGCTAAATGTCCATTGTCCATGACATCATTAAATTGAATTATTTTCCTTCTTAGCACTTAAAATACATTTCAGCGACACAAAACTCCCAAAAGTCTGATATCTTGCCCGTGGTATCGTGGTACGATCGGCGAGTACCTAAACCTTCCTACGCAATGTCCATGGCTATGCGAAGTCTAAGGTTGGCCTACATAAGCCTTGGGTTGGCCTGTTTATCCTGTTTCATATCGTATCTATGATAATAAAGTGTTCACGATCGCATAGCCAAACTGAGAACAAAATATTTATTTGCAAAACTCCAGCAATACCCCTCGCTTGATACTATAAAAAATATTGCACACGATCATGCGAAGCCGTGAATCCTACCGCCTTTATTTAGCGCCGGCGTTCCCGCGTTAATAATTTCTCCTGAATCGGAGGACCAATAATCAGCTGACGCACCGTTGTTTTGATGTCGGCGGACCGTGCCAGCCTGGCTCTTGGTAGAATATTCCACAGTGTATATAAATACAGTGGCGGCAAATGCGCTTGGTCACGTGACCAAATCTGCACGTGCGGTTGTGGCGAGGGCACTTTCCGAAACTCTGGTGCCAACGGCCTCGTGGCGCCCATAGAGAATACATGGGGCCTTTTCTTTTCAGACCTATCGTGTCTAAACCAAGCCATTTAGTGCAAGGATACGACTGGTTTGAGATTCAGTCGTCTTTTGGCTATAAGTCGGCATAAGAAACGTATTTTTATCGGCAAAATTCGCTAAGTACCAGGTGGTTTTCCGATACGCTGCACGCCTCCTAACCCCCGGCGGCCGACCGGAGGAGTCAGTAGCGCTCCACTCACGACTTTTGGCGATAGCTCAAAACACCTTACAGCTAGAGGGCTGCTATTTGGCACACCTTATCTTTGCTTCCATACGCATCTTTGGAAACCGATTGCATTTCCGTCTCTGGTCAGATTACTGACTTATGACGTCACACGTGAACCTCTGCAATAGTCCCAAAATACCGAAACTTCGCAATGCCCTCGGTGCCAGAGGAGCTGTCACAGCGAGATGATACTTACAGGACCTAGTATCCTCTAGAAGTCTCAAAACTTGTATATCTCGGATTTCTCCTAGAGGTCACATGAGGTCAGGCCGATCGCGTGACGTCACCATTACAAGTCAATGGGGAAAATATGGAAACTGTTATTTTGACGCCGAGAATGATCTAAACCTAGCTCAAGCACATGGAATCGCAATGTCATGCACTTCTTCCAATGCCCAATGCTTCACTTTTGCATCTTTAACCTAGCGTGACGTCATAGGTCACAAGTTTTTTCGTCAATAACTCCTGATAAATTTGAACTGTAAGTCGGAAAAGTCGCCAATGGACTCGGGAAGCCTATCGAATCGAATGATATACGATATAACCTCCTCCGACCAACTTCGTGACCTGAGTGCCTCTGACCTGACTTTGACCCGATGTGAACACCTTATGTTGACCCCACCCAAACAAAAGTGTACCATTTGACGCACCGGAGCATGACAAACCTGATGGTACTAAAATCGCGACTCTGCGCCGTTTTTTGGCAAAGTTATTACTCAAAACCCGAAATCGTATTTTAGCCCTCGGGGCACTTGACCTGACCCTCAGAGCAGGGGCGTCGCCACGGATTTTTGAGTGGGGGGGTCGGGTTTCTAGTCTTCACCCGATGGGTGTTTTTTTTTTTGTCACACTTCCCAGTTTTGTGCGTGCGTATGTGTGTTTTTTTTGTCACACTTCCCAGTTTTGTGCGTGCGTATGTGTGTGTGTGCGCGTGTAACAAATCGGCGCGCAGCGCCGCGAAATTTGGTATAACCTATTAGGTAGGTATACCTACCTACATCACTTGCGTAAAAATTATCACTGGTCACTTAAGGTCAGGTCGCCATGTCAAGTTCAGTTATACGGTATACCTCTATCAAACTTTCCCCTCTCGCCATTCTTGTAGCTTTTCTCCCATAACTTCGAAATTTGGTACACTGTAGGTATACCTAATGCATGGGGTTATACGTGTCAGCAATTCATGATTCTGAGGATTTACATCTATGATCTGGAGGCAGGTCAAATACGTGACCTCATCATGAGAAAATAATGAGAAATTAGAAAAAGTACGAATGCCTCCTGCTTTGAAAAAGTTCGTCAGAAACGCAAAATATCTTTGGACCCATGACAAATCAGCTCATCATTGCCAGGGACAGGGTGCAACTTATGGCGAGTGATGACTCGAAAGGTCATTAGTGGAAATGTCCATCGGTGGCCAACCAGCATTTTTTTCTACAACTTTTGACGAAGACGCGGTAGAGCGATGACAGCACCTGGAAGGTGTTCACTGTTCAGCTCAACAACACGGACCCATTCATATGCAGCAGGACGTCCTTTTTCGATCAGGACATAACGTTGACCTGAGGTCGTTTTAACGTTAATTCTGAATGGTCAAATTTTAACTCATGTGACGCGTCTCAAAGAGATAAACACGGTGGTGACAAGACAATATATGTAAATACCATACAAATTCACGGAATCTAAAGTTATTGCAAAGCAAATGTTTCGGCAGAATCTGTCCAGTTCGCTGTTTGCCTTCTATGGGCAAAACATAGACCAGAGATGAAATCTGACGCGAAGCTAGCGAAAGAGCGTTGAAAGAGCTATCGAGTATCGAATATGTTTTCTGCTTCACTGTAGCCCTTCTATTGGTGGGTTCCCTGTCGCTAACGTATAACGTATACTAAACTAACGCTGAGGTATGCTTTCGACCCCTGATCGATCTAGAGGTTTGCGGAAAAAAGAGCATGCTGCCCGTGACGAGAGAAAGCCGATGATACCCATTTACAAGGTTTCGGGTCATCTCAGGACAGGTCATCGCCAATAAGTAGGGAAACTCGGGACCTGCTAGAACTTTGCGAATGTAACTTGTGATGGTTTTTCGAGGTTCTGATTACGAATGTTATCTTAGTTTTGAACGAAGATGATGACTCCATGCATTTGGGGTAGATCAGATCAGGTCAGATCAACCAGTACCGTGGATGACCACCACCGATTGCTTCCTAACATGTTATACATATGTACAGGGTGTCCCAGAAGTCTTGAAGCTTTTTTATTTTTGTCGTGTGACCTCGCTATGCCACCGATTAAGGCGAATTATGCCTCAAACGAAAGAGAATGAACTGAAATTTTGTATTTTCATGCGTAGAGCCCCACTTAAGTCAGGTTGCCCCCGTTGTGAGTCGCACAAGAACGAGCGCGAGAGATCACGTCCTTCGCTGCCGCCAAGATCTCCCGGTTTTTGAAACACCGGTGTCGCCATGCCCGTTTCTTGTCAGCTTCAGAGTCTTATTCCCTGAAGCGAGCGACATAATATTAGCGACATATATTTGCGACGGGTTGATATTTGTTTTAGCACCATAATAATGCGACGAATCAAAGGATTACAACGGGCTGTTGCTTAGCGCGCTCATGCAGCTGAGCCTTATTTTCGTATTGGATGCGTGCAAACATATCAGGAGACTTTCTGATCAGTAAATTATTATGTTGCTAATATTTTCTCGGAGATCCAATACTCTGTTTCCTGGCTCGCTTCATGAAATAAGGCTCTGAAGCTGACCAGAAACGGGCATGGCGACACCGGTGTTTCGAAAACCGGGAGATCTCGGCGGCAGCGAAGAACGTGATCTCTCGTGCTCAATCTTGTGCGACTCACAACGGGGGCCACCTGACTTAAGTGGTGCTCTAGTGGTGCATGAAAATACAAAACTTCAGTTCATTCTCTTTCGTTTGAGGCGTCATTTGCCTTAATCAGTGGCATAGCAAGGTCACACGACAAAACTAAAAAAGCTTCAAGACTTCTGGGACACCCTATATAAGCAACACAACTACTTCTTAAATGTTCAGATGGGCGCTAAGTTCAAAATCAGCTCCAAAAATTATCCTATACCTAAATTAAAAGCATGTTATGAAAAGGTGAACCAAGGTCATCTTTATTTGAATCAGGGATATCGATTTATTTTTAAGTAGGTGATTAACTCGAGCGCACCGGAAGTTTCGTTGCAATCGGCTCCTTTTTGCGCGACTTCTTTGCGAAAGCCCGAGACGGTCTCACCTGACTCCCTTTCCCCTACATGTGCACTGTACAGCTAGTTGTGACGGTAGCCATGGGGCTGAGGCTAGTTTGTAGTTTTGTAGTTAGGTACTGATCCGACGAATCGACTGCGACCATTTTTTTTAACGATCAGACGAACGCTCGGGGCAGTTTTGGCGCGTCCAATCCTTTGAGGGATAAAAAGGTACTAGAATGGTGGCTACTTAAAAATATTGTTGTGCTGGTGTTCCCCGACCACAGCTAATTGAACTTTAGGTAATTGGCTAATTGGCTTTATGGAGCTCTTGAAGCGATTCTGAATCTGATGTATTTGTTGGTGTTGCTGACGCCTGCTTCACTGACATAAAAGCCAAAAAAGCATACTCAGCATCGCAAAAAGTGGGGGGGTCGACACCCCCAGTTTTCGAGAGTGGGGGGGTCACGACCCCCCCGACCCCCCCGTCGGCGACGCCCCTGCCTCAGAGGCCACTGCAGTTGACCTGAGACTTTTAAACCGTGCATCAATTGCTGCGTCCCCGGTCCCGTAACGGCACACGTGCTTGTTTTTCCCGCGAGGCTAGCTCAATTAGGGCGAGGGAGTCGTACCCGCCCACTCTCACGGCCGGGGCGTAGGCATGTAAAAAAAAATAATAAGTCTGGGGATGATTGATGCAAAATTCTTACAGATAATGGTTGATGAAGGTAGGGTATAAGTTATTAGAGATAAGTGAAACAAATTTGCAGCCCTCAGTAGCCTTGATTTATGCATTAAGAGTTATAGAAATTAGAACAACTGTAAGCTGCAGGCTCAGCTCTTCAGTTTCTACCTATACCTGCATACACAATAAATTCAATGGAAGAGTAATAATAGTTTAATTGTATTTTATTGATGCTATTCGAGTTTCAATGGTAACTATATCACCGATGATTCAATATTATTTGCACGGTATCATTTGCTGCCACACGTCTAAATATTTAGTATCTAAAATATTGCAGTAAAATAAGCTGCACCACATCTGTCGACAAAATATGGTGCCAACTCAAGGTCAAACGGAAAATGTGGTCACGTGACCAATGTCCGGCAGCTGGAATATTCCACAGTGTATATAAATAATATATTCAACATACTTCGATGGAATATTCAACATACAACTAATATTCTATACAACTAAACGCTGGCGTCGCTGCACCAGCTTTCGAATCGCATGCTGGCAGACCTCGGCCATTCAATGTCCGTTGACCGTTCGTCTTTTGTCGACCACGACCCACTCCGATCACGACCCACAACAAACGCTCCTACACCGCAGTAGGTTACGAACAGGTTACATTCCACCCGACGTAACAGCTTGGAGTGTCCACCCTCGCCGAGTGCCTGTGCGGTGCTCGGAGCGCCCGTGACCCGGTCACGCTCGTAGCCGGGCTAATTTTCTGTCACCGCGCGCCGCGCCGCAGTCCGTTCACGAGACCCCGAGCGGCGCCGGCTGGTTTATTTTACCCCGGCGCTATTGACCGGGCGCCGGCCGTTCGTTCCGATCGCCGGCGGCGCTGACAGGGTACGGCCGCGGAACGACTCGGTCAGCCTACGTGACCGGCGCGCTGACGTTCAGGTGTTCATTATGGTCTGTCCACAGCAGACAGTGATGCAGGCGGTGATACGGACCAATAGGCGGCGACGGGCCGGGTCTGAACGGGCCGCCGCGCGGCGGTCGGCGCAAATCACGCCGCCGCCGATGTGGCTGGTGACGGGTGAAAAGGCGCCCGGACAGAGTACGAGCTCGTGACGCGCTAACAGGCTCCGTTCGTTCAGAGGCGCTGAGAGCTGACGCAATGCCAGGGTGTTCCCGCCGAGACGCCTTTCGTTGCGCTCGGTATATCCTGATCTACGGTATAGGACGCTCCAACTAGGCAAATCGATTACGGCTACAGTAATACGCTCTGAAGAGGGGAGCAAACGGATGAGCAGCTGTTCAGCCGACGTTCATATAAATTGTTCTAAGGGTTATCTACTGGGAGAAAGGATTGGGCGATAACAATAATTCTGGAGGGCTTTTAGGACGCATAGGCCATGCAGACATCTTATTTCGGAATATATTTGTGCGAGCCGCGGAGTCTGAAACCTTTTCAACCATGGGTGACATATGACACACATCTTAATGGGAATCGTTGCTTGTCATTCGTTGATGAACTTAATCCGTTAGCCCTGCTGCTGGGACCCCACTTGATCAGCCGATCGATGACTTGTAAATAATCCTGTTCAATATTTTAGCAAGCACATTCTGCTCGATTTCTGCAGGACTTAAACTTTAAGAATTTGAAGAGGTCACCTTTTATCCCGTTTACTTTTATAAGTAAACGTTTACTTATGCGGTAGGTATCCATAAACACCGTAAGATTGAAGAAGCCTTGGTTGCTACCACTTAACTACAGTAGTGAATTTTCAGAATACGGATACCTTAAAAATAGTGGTGTGGTAAAGAACATTAAATTATGATCTCACTTTTTCCTTTGTCTGTGACAAGAGTTGGGAATCTTCGATTGTCTATAACCTTAACCTGTCCTATAACCTGTTCCCCTGGCCCTAACCGTAACCAGTCTGAACGCAGCGTCCTCTCTTCGCCCTCCCACCTACACCCGTGCTGACTCGCCGTCTGACCCGTGGTGACCTCCGGCAGGTCGTGACCCGCGCGTGGGCGCCATGAGTGTGCCCGACGAGGCGCTGCTGGCCAGCAGAAACCACGCGTCACCGAACGGCGGCCGCGTCCGTCCCAAGAACCGATCCGAGTCCGCAGGTAGCTGTGGGTAAGACGAGCCACCCCGCCCTGACCTGACCTGACCTCGACCCGTTCCGACCCAGCCGCCACAACCACCCAATTCGTTATCAATGTCAAACTTTGACGGCATTCCCCTGGTAGACTGCTTTTAAAATCAATGCTTCAGTCAATATTATTGTTGATAACATGGTTTGACTAAAATAACCGCTGCTGCTTAGACTTCATCAATGAGTTGTATGAGCGTGAAGCTTTTAACTGAACCGTAAGAAACCAAAACCCCAGCAATCAGTCGTATTGCGCATTCGCGTCGCCCTTTGAGGCCAGTCTCTCTGCAGCAGCTGCTCAGTTATTTTCGACTCGGCGGATATATTTGTGCTGCGAATTCGAACCCCAGCCCAGCGTTCCAAACTTCCAAAGCATATCGCATTGCTGACTGGCTGTTTGCCGTCTAAACAGTGACATCCTGTGTTCCCTCAGATCAGTGTTCCGCCGACCACTGGATCACTCGAGCGCGGAGGCTACTCCGCAAGCTGACCGGACTGCCACCTGGCGGCCCAAACTAGACACTCAGTTTTCGGTGACGTCCAGTGGTGTCTCTGACGACGCGGCGCTGCGCCGCGCGGCCGACGGGGAGGGTGTCGTCACCCGTCACCCTTCGCTGTCGTTCCAGACTCGGATGGACCGCCAGCTACCGAAGCGCTCCTCGACTCACTCGGGTCACCTGATCCCGGCGCGGTGGCGGCGCCGGAAGAAAGCAGAGGTCATCTGGCACCCGTACGTGCCTCCTGCCACCAGCGACCAGAGCCTGACCGACAGCGGACGACCCGAGGTCACCTGCCTCATCTCTGAGCTCGACGAGAGACGCACGACTGACGCCTCTCCCCAGGGCAGCCAACATCGGTTCTCCGTTCCAAGTGTGTTCGTCCAGGCGCCCAGTTTCCGACGCGAGTCGCCGGGCGGCTCTCGGAGTCGCAAGACGTGGGCGGACGCGGCTCCCTTTAGCCGCTCCTGGGACGACCGAAACGGCTGCTGGACAGACCTGAGTCCCAGTCCAACGGAGTGCGTCCATGAGCCGACGCCGGCCGACCACAGCCCGGCGCTCACCGACCCCGGCCCCCTGTTCACCGATAGGGGACTGTCCGACCCGGGCCCAAGTCTGGCGCGGTCCGGGTCTGCCGCCCAACTTTTGCACCACATCCCAGTCGAACTAGACCCTTGCGACACGGACGGGGAGCTCTTCGCCTCGGCTCACCAGCTGGAGGACACCTCCTGCGCTGAGGCGTCTGATGAGGACCAGTTTCCTCTCCATCCCCTCCCAGCAGTCAGCAGCCTACCGGACTTTCAGCGAGTGGCACAGTCGGGATCAGCCACCTCCAGTCTCGAGCGGAAGCACAGTCTGCCCGCCTCGGCCAACAAGCGCGTCCAGATCCTCGAGCCGAGTGAAGTCGAACAGCTGGCACACCGAGCGGTAGCGGCGACGGCGGCGACGGCGGCGACGTCAGCGACGAGCAGTGAAACTCCGACGGCGTCTACAGGAACTCGGGACACCACGCTGGGCACGGCAGGGACGCAGGAGTCCCCAACGGCCTCAGGACCCAGGGAACCTCAGACGCCTGAATCACCTGGAACATCAGAGCCCTCAGGACCGCCCTTAGGGACGTCAAGACCCTCAGGAGCGCCAGAGTCAGGGTCATCAGGAGCACGAGGTTTTTCGGGGAGGCCGGGCTCGTCTGGGGCGTTTTGGTCATTAGGGACACAGGGCCCTTCAGAAGTTCAAGGGCCCTCAGGAACGCCAGGACACACAGGGGCCTCCGGGCCTTCAAGTCTGGGGACACAAGGGCCCGTAGGAGCACCAGGACCCCCGGGGGCACAAGAACCCTGCGGAGCGCCGGGGCCCCCGGCTCGGACGGCCAGTCTAGGCGCGGGGGAGCCACCTGGACCACCGTCCGCCTCTGTGTCTCCCAGTCTTCGGAGGATCGAGGCGCAGCGGGGAACGCGGAGAAAACGCCAGTAGCGGGACGAGACCCGACAGTCCGGAGCCGGGCTCGGACCGCGCGCGCGCTTGTTTTGTGTGATATGCCGTCAGGGCTGTCCTCCAGTTAGCTGGGGTCCGGTGGACTCTCACCAGCGCCAGAGTCGTGGTGATAGACGAGACTAGACTCCAGCTGGACATGTCCAGTGGATAAACTGTGCGAGCGGTAGGAGTCAAAGGCTTGCTGTGCTTCATATATGCCTGCATGTGTTGCTACGTTTGTCTTTCAGTTATATCCGTTCGCGCCCGATTCCGTGTATCGATATTGTGAAACATCCCTTTTGAGTTTGGTGAAATGGAGAATAACAAGGAGCCGCCTATAAAATAGAGGTCATGCGTGACATAGTTAATCCCGAAAGGCGGCTTCTTCATTCGGCGCAACCGGGCACGACGCGTGAAAGTGTGTGGAGAACGGGAAAGGAGAGTCCCGCATCGACTAGGCTCCATCTGTGTTATCGCTGTCATTATGTTGACGAAGTCATAGGACCGATATCGTAATGTCCGTTGCTGTGCATTTTGTAGCACCATTTCATTGTGAGGATGCCGACTCTATGGTGTATCTCACCGTTTCATATGTTCGGCATTGATTTTGACGCACCTAGTGATTGCAGTGTGGTGTGACCGAGTGTACACCAAAAAGGCTGATTATATACCAAATATACCGAGTATCCACCAAAATCGCTGAATATACACCAACAATACAGTGAGTGTTCACCGGATAGATGAACAGCATGCGGACCACCCATTCCTAATATTGCAGCCTAAATGAAACGAATGTCCGCGATTCTGAAGTCACCATATATTAGCCATCACTCCTGGATAGTACAGTGGAAGCGTTCTCCTGCTGCGGCCCGTCGTCACCACATCGGGTTTGGTAACAGTGTCCGCTGTGACGACGCCTCGCCGGTCGCAGCAGTATGGGGGCCGACAGCCGACCTCAGATCGTCTCAGTCATGATAGTCAGCCTCCCCTGGACGCCCATATGACCCGCTGACTGCCCGCATCCCCTGAATTCCAACTGCAGACACTGAGAGGGACGGTGCCCTGCCCCAGCTTAGGGCCATCCTTATTACCGGAGAGAGCAGCCGATACCATTCCACTCTGTTACCACCTCACACGCCACTTGCATAAAACGTCTCCGAACAATATTGAAAATATACTGCCTGGCAACATCTGCGCAAGGCTGACTCGTCACCAAGCTGATACAAAACAGCTGAAAAACTCTGCCCTCTGTGCTCAGGGGACACTCCAGGACCCAGCCTGGACCGCCCCGCCCCATTCCATAGTACCTAGATGCGCGGCGTTCATCACCCGTTGGCGTTGGCGGCTTCGATCTCCTTCCTGACGATGGCCTTGTACTCGTCAAAGCCGCCCTCCAGCGCCTTCACAGTGCCGCCCGAGCAGACCCACAGCTCCTTGCAGACCATCCGGATCAGACGCTCGTCGTGGGAGACCAGGATCACGCCGCCCTGTGGGAGAGGGAGAGGGGCGTCAGATGGGTATGGGGTACTGAGGTCACACCGTGTTATGTGTTTGTGTTGGGATGTGAGGGGGAGGGGACAGCGGGGCGTTAGTGGGTTTCTATGATTACGACGCCCTGTCTATGGTGGCGGCAATGAGAAGCGGGGAGAGGGAATGAGGTTCAGTGGGATATTACGGGCACATACGTGTAGTATGGAAAGAAGATGGAGAAAGCAATGGTTCATAAACACAACTGACACAAGCTCAGCATAAGAGAACTACAGCATAATATCGAATTCAGGAACTGGTTGAAGGACTAAGACAAACTGTCGCATGATCATAACAATGTGTTCATCAATGGATGGAAACCATTCGTCTCACAAGCAGCACCCAGTCGACTTACGTTGAACCGGTTGATGGCGTGTCCGAGCGCCTCGATGGTCTCAATGTCCAGGTGGTTGGTAGGCTCGTCAAGGATGAAGAAGTTGGGCCGCGCCATGCAGATGGCTGCGAACGCTACTCTGGACTTCTGACCTCCCGACAGACTGCCCACCTGAGCGAAACAGAGCATAGGAGGGGTTAAAGGATAACTGCGAACGCCATCCTAGACTTTCGACTTCCAGAGAAACTGCCAACCTGAACGGCACAGAACGGCGCAGGAACGGTCAACTGTGAGTTGTGACGAAAACAGAGACATACATAGGCGGAGTGAGCAGCTGCGCTGGAGCGCGGCGATGGTCTGAGCTTTTGGACAGCCACTCTCCATGATAAGTGACGCATAACTGGCAAAGACGTGCTCCATATCATGAATACAACAATTGGTTAAACTACAAACCAAATTTCACGGATTCATAATTAATAAGGCACCTCCCATTGACAATATTAACGGCGGAAATAACATGCATAACAATAGCTCGTAAAAGTAACACTGCAACCCTCGGACAATTCACCTAACTTTGAACAGTTTGGAAGTGGGTGCGGCTGAGAAGCTCGGAAGTCCGACCCCGCACGCCTAGCTCACCTGCTGTGTGGCCAGGTCTCCGCTGACACCGAAACTACCCAGCTGCTGGCGGTACTCCTCGACCGTACGACCTGAGAATAGAGCCACGCAACGGTCAGATACATTATTGCAGAGCTTTGGGAAATGGCGTGGCGGACTGGAAATTACACAAGGATCTATTTTCCCAGTGAAATCAAGCATTGTTTGCTGTTGTCTCGCACTCGCAACATCGCTGAAGCTGCACATTGCTAGACCAACGCTTCCTTTACGGTCATGACGGAATTATTTTTCTTTAAAGAGGCAGACGAGCACGGTAGTCCAAAGGGCGCAACATTTGTGTCTAAAAGAACTGAATGATAATGTTCAAGTGGCATCCGGTCTAGGCTCAGTGTGACCACGCTCCCAGTGCACCAGCCACCCTCCTCCCTCCCTCACCGGGGAACCGGGCTGCCAGCAGCTGTATCGAGTTGACAGTCATGTCCAGCTGATCCACATGATGCTGAGAGAAGAAGGCGATCTTCAGGTTGCGGTGCGCGTGTCGGATACCCGAGGAGGGCGTCAGCTCGTCCATCAGGATCTTCAGCAGCGTCGTCTTACCGGCGCCGTTCTCTCCCACCTGTGGGAGCGGGGAGGGAGGGGAGGTTAAGCTCACCGCTTTCTGTTCTCACCGCACTCCCGCACTCCCATTTTCTGGGAGGGAAGAGAAGACTTACGGGGCACCAGTCAGGAAATTAACTGTACATTTGCTAGAAATATCTGAAATTGATCCGGAATTTGAAGCCTGCCAATAACTCACGACCAAAAGCAGATTTGGAAGACTAGTAATAAATCCGATCCCAGTGTGAAACTGCCCGAAAAAAATATGTCAACACACACGGTTGCTGCTAAAAAATCCGGACTTTGACAAAAGTCTCCTGCTCGCTAAAATCTAGACGCCACTGGGCGTGGGCATCCTGTTTCGTCCCGCTTTCGACTACCACCACGCCACCTCCGCCTCCCGCCGCTCTCCCACCCCCTCCGCCGACTCACAATACAGATGCGCGACTCCATGGCGGTGCTGAGGTCCACCTTGCGGAAGATGTACTTGTCGCCGGTCGGGTAGCGGAAGTCCACCTCGTCCAGCTGCAGGATCGGTGGATGGAGCGGCTCCGTGGGCGGGAACTTGAGCACCACCTCACTCTCTGCCACCACGGGCACCAGCTCGGGGCTGGGGGGGGGGGAGGGGGAGGGGGGAGAGGTCAGAGCAGGCTTCCTCAGTCATCATGGGCTTTGACAGGGAACGCAGGAGACTGGTCAGATTGACCAGTGTTACTTTAACTATCAAGAGACAGCTTAGCACTTAGACAATCATGACTTGCAATAAGTGGATGGGTGGGTTTAATTTCAGTCAAAGGTAACTCACAGTTTCTCCAGCATCTTGATCTTGCTCTGTACTAGCGAGGCCCGCTTGGCGTTGTATCGGAACTTGTCGATAAACTCCTGTGCGTGTGCTCTGAACGCCATCTGTCGAACAGAACGAAAATGTATGTATGTATGTATGTATTGACGATCAAGAGCAATCCACAATCGGCGTGGCGATTACACTCCGAGTCCGAGCTGGTTGAAGATAACACAAGAAATAGGTACCTACACAAGAAAACGCACACACTTACGGATACGAAATACACAACGCGAACGCCAAACACGCACACGCAAATAGGTGTAGAGCTCGGTGATGGCAGATAATAAGCGAAATATACCTATAGCGATCGAGTAACGGATCCAAAGCAACGACAGGCATGAATGGAGGACATGTTCTAAATTGAATTCAAGGAAAAATAAGCGGAGAATGAGTGAGCTGAAGAAAAGCTACGGCTACGGGACAAAAGCCCCGGACAGAACATGGTTCAAAATTTAAGGTTACATGAGCACTGACAAGATAACGAACATTACGAAAATGACGAACATTCAAGAAAATGACTCGAGAATACGACTGGTATAATCATCGTTCACTACATTACCACGCTGATATCATCACAGTAAATTACCAGTAAATTACCTCTCACTGAAATGAAAGTAATGAAATTGTCTACATAATAAGAGGCTCGCCGGAGTCCTGATGCAAAATTCATAGTGATTACTCAGAGACCATATTATACCAGTCAACACCACCTTACCTGAGCCTCATACTCCCTCTGCTGGTTCTTCATTTTCTCGGCCTTGGCCTTCACAAAGTGGCCGTAATTGCCCCTGAAAGGAAGCGTAGGAGCATGATAACGGCGAAAGGATACACAAGAAGCTTTGACACGGCACACCAAACATTTATGCGTAAGTTCGATTTAGGCAGCCGCGGATGTCAATTAATGTGATAACTAAAGACATGCCACACAAAATGAAAGTAAGTAATGCAAGTTAGGTGGCCTAAAATGTTTTTATTCCAGGCTCTTTCCGTTCCATAAGGTACAACTGAGTATCGTAAGCACTGTATGTACTAAGCACGATTCCCACATAATCTGAAAACCCGAATGTCCGCACAGCCCTCACATACGAAACCCCTCCCTCCCACCGCGCGTCTCACTTGTAGCAGTCGATTTTCTGAGTGTGCAGGAAGAGGATGTCTGTGGGTACCACCTCCAGGAACTGCCGGTCGTGTGACACCACCAGCAGCGTGCTGGGCCACGTCTGCAGGTAATCCTCCAGCCAGATGATGGCCTTCATGTCCAACATGTTCGTCGGCTCGTCAAGCAGCAGCAGGTCAGGCCTGAGAACGGCAGCCGCAGAGTAAGGTATATGTGAGTAGATACTAGAGTGCAGAGTAGATAGACTGAAGTAGATGTGAGCTGCTGCGATATTTTGGACGATACTAATAATCTGCTGAGGCTGTGGCTGTTACGTACACACCGATAGAAAAACTACGAATGTTTTTATCCGCCACGCACGTCATAATACACAGGAGAATTATAGCTCAGCAGAATCGCAAACAATAACCTATTAAATGTATCATGGTTTACGAAACAGCCTCCTTGGTGGTACAGACCCACAACCCGTCATGGTTGGAAAACTTTAATTACACAGCAAAGCATAATTAAATCTTCACGAACCCATAACAAGCCCTCACACCCAGTTCACCGTCCAGCGCCACTCACTGCGAGAACAGGGCGCGCGCCAGTGCCAGTCGCATCCTCCAGCCGCCGGAGAACTCCTTGGTGGGCCGCTTCTGCATGGCCGGGGTGAAGCC